GGAAGTGTTCTAAGCTATTTACTGTGGTTCAATCGTTAATCGTATCTCGTTCGCTGTTATCTCTATATAACCATGGGATCTTCCAACATCAACATTGTATGCTCTGACAATTTCATGAAAGATTTAGAGAATAATGTATTCCGTTTTTTCAAGCTGCATCGAGGCAAACTCCTGGCTAAGACCAGGTGCTCGGTCTACCTCTCGCAGCTAAAATCGGACGAAAGTGTTCATAAAGTTGTCAAGATGTTTCCCCGTGATGAAGATTCGACAGCTCGGTTTGTCAACGAGGTGCACCTGATGACATCTCTACAGCACCCAAACGTCATGGTGTTCGAGATGGCCGCATCTTTTCCCATGCACAACGCCCTCGTGATGCCTTACTGCGAGGTCGGCGCACTCTATCATTTGATCGGGAAGATGACCCAAGCGGACATTGAGCACTACTTCCTGCAGATGTGTGCGGCTGTGAAGTACCTACATTCACAGGGTGTCGTGCACAGAGACATCAAACTGGACAACATACTCGTGGATAAAAATAAACATCTTTTCATCACGGACTTTGATTTGGCCTGCACAGTGGATCTGAACTTACCGATTGTTAGAGGCAGGATAGGAACCTTGCAGTACATGGCCCCTGAGATGGATGCAGATCCAAGGGGAGCTTACGACGGCTTCAAAGTAAGATTTTTTTTTTAATAATTAATTATTTACAGATAACATTGTTAAAACTTATTTCAATTTTTCTTCCTTTTTTTATTTGATAAGCTATAATTTCTTTTTTTAGCCAAATGCTGTTAACATTTGTTGTCAAAACTATACTAATATAAAACGAAAGTTGGCAAATTGTGTTCAAATTGTATAGTTATTATAATAATACATTTACAACGGCAAATACATTTCTTTGGTTATATATAGTACTATTTATAGTACTCCTTCATACTTAACCTCACTTTGCTTTATTTTAAAATGACGTACGTTTTATACTCGTATTCCTTTTTTTTGTTCTACTACAAAATGTTCAATCTCAAAATCTTTAATAGAAAAATATAATGAACTTCTTCTGATAGTCACAGATTGTTTTATTTGAGGCAATCTCCGAATGATAATCTAAAATCCTTACCATAAACATATTTATTTTATTTCTTTTATAAATATTACATTTGTTCTCAAGTCTCAGGCAGCTTATATATATTATAAGATAAACAATCAATCTATAGTCTATGACATAGACTATAGATTGATTGTTTATCTTATAATATATATAAGCTGCCTGAGACTTGACTATGTTTTACTTAAACGAAATCACAATATACCGACATGTCTAGATATATGTGTTAATACAACTGATCCAAAGGCACACTTACAACACTGTAACGCTACTTTCTCTAACCCACAGTTGGACACTTATGCTCTTGGGCTGGTACTTTGGTGCATGCTCTTCAGGAAGGACATTCAGGACACCGAGGATTTCCTGTCCATCACCAGGACAAGTGTCTGGGTGTTTCCGCTCCATTTTTACCGAGGTGTTTTGGAAAGCTTGCTGAATCCGGACCCCGTGCACAGGTGGGATATTGACAGGTTGATAGGTGCTTTGAAAGAGGCGCATTGGTTGGCTGAGAGGGTGAGCAAGTTATAGATTTAGATTATTCGGGATGATAGTCAATAGTTAATATTTTAGCTTGTTTTTTTTTTTTTTTCCGTTAAGCTTATCATATGTAATTATGAATTTCTTTTAACATATAGAATTTAGTTTTGACAGTAATATAAAAATAGCATACATTAGTTCAAATAGATTCAATTTGTTCTAAAGTTATATTTTAATCATATTTTCGTTTCAAATAACTTTTAAAAATTTCAAGTATTATATTTTATAATTATTCTAAAATTCTTTTTCAAATAACCGTTTATATTTATTATTTTTATTTTTTAATATTTGTTGTTTTTGTTGCATTTTTACTAATAAACTAATAATATTGTATGTAATCTTAACAAAATAAATTTATGATAAATTATCTTTTTCTTAAGAGGTGATTGCGACAAATGTAAACTAGTCTAATTGAAAAAATATAATTTTTTTTTTAATTTCTAGTACCGGGTACATAAAAAATTTAACCTATTTATTAATTATCATTTTATTTTTTAATGTTTTCGTTTTAATAAATTTAAATATTGATTCTGCCGCTTAATACAAGATTTCATCAATAGCTTAACAAATCAACAACTACCAGTAGACTGCCGGTGGCGTGGTTGTAAGAAGGATTTTGAACCAAATTTATGGGAATTTTTGTGTAAAAGTTTATCTTAAACGTTAGGAATTAAGAAACTTCTGTAGTTAAAATAAAAAAAAAATAAATGAATAGTTTGAAAAATCAATATTTCACTGGGCTTAGCTTTACATTTCTATTTAAGCATTATGCTCTAACAAAACACATTTAATTGATAGAAATCTTTTCCTATCTATTTTAACTAAAATTTTATAACTAACACTAAGACATCCTTTTTCGTAATCTTTTTTAATGATTATTTATTCATGTTGATCTAAAATTCAAATTCTTTTGATTCGGTTTCATAACTAAGATACAATTTATAAAAATTAACAACAAATAGTTTAGAATTATTTTTAAGTTCACCAATTTTTCTTTCTAATTTGTTTGCGTATTTATTGTGCTAATATTATAACCACTTAATTAGATTTCATTAACAACTAACACCCAATAGTAAGAAGGGTCTTACTTTTTAATCAGGCCACAAATATCTGTGACGGTCCCAAGCCCGTGTGAACTGAGAGGGAAGAGTGACTTAATTAAACAGCATTCCGATATCTTAACATCTTTTAGCTTTAAATGTGTTCATCTACTGGTCTTTCTTCATTACATCTGATAGTTTACGTGCATTGGTGGCTGGGATTCATCTACTGGTCTTTCTTCATTACATCTGATAGTTTACGTGTATTGGTGGCTGGGTGTCATCTACTGGTCTTTCTTCATTACATCTGATAGTTTACGTGTATTGGTGGCTGGGTGTCATCTACTGGTCTTTCTTCATTACATCGGATAGTTTACGTGTATTGGTGGCTGGGTGTCATCTACTGGTCTTTCTTCATTACATCTGATAGTTTACGTGTATTGGTGGCTGGGTGACATCTACTGGTCTTTCTTCATTACATCTGATAGTTTACGTGCATTGGTGGCTGGGTGTCATCTACTGGTCTTTCTTCATTACATCGGATAGTTTACGTGTATTGGTGGCTGGGTGTCATCTACTGGTCTTTCTTCATTACATCTGATAGTTTACGTGTATTGGTGGCTGGGTGTATGTTTTACGGTCTTTTCTCATGCATGAAGTTCATTTGTTTTGTTTTACATCATATACATTTTAAACTATCAGAATTGGCTTGTTGGTGTCGGAAAGGAAATTAAAATTTCCATTAAATAATCTTTTTTATATTTTTTTTTAACAAGGGGCCGACTGGTGATGTACTTCTAGCTCACCGTCACAATGTCTGCTATATCCTACATTTAGAGGCCTATCATTATCATGCAATAGTCAGTTCTTCTGAGAGTCATGAGCAAAAGCCAAAGCAAACCGATAGTTACGGTTCTCTTGCAAGAAGTTCAGCCGAGACTTCCTCGGGATTTGCCACCAAAAGCTGCTGGAGACACTGCAAACAACACCAGCGCCACACGTAGCACACTCGGTTAATATCTACGCCATTAACATATTTTCAATATCTATTCATAAAATACGCCTGTATGTAGCACGCGTACTTTGTTTCCCGAGAACATGATGCATGCTTGAGGCAACATCTTTGAAAACTCCATCATAATATAATGGGATGAATTTGAAACAATAAACTTGAATGTTTATGTGATTTTTATATCCATCTATATCTTAGGCTTGAAGATCCCATTTGGATTTGGGATCCTATTTTAATTTAGCTGTTAAACGGCCATAGCTTTGGCATTGATGAATACCATTTTGTTCTTTAAAAATAAGTCATCTTCTCTAAGTTAGACTTGTCTTTAATTCTTGTCTGTGTTCAGATTAAATATCAACTGAAACGGGATCATAAATATGTCATTTTTTAAAAAATAAAAGAACGTTTTAAAAATTTAACAGTGACTTAAGGGACATTTTTTGAAAGGGCGCTAAATATACTTGTACAAGATTGCGCTTTAGGAGGTTCTTTTCCGAATACAAACCGGGTACATTGGTTAGTTTTAACATGAAAATTCAGAATACTGCTTTTAAAAATCCTCAAAAAGGAAGCCTGTCCGCCCTGTCCTGTAGCTTACACTGTTACATTAGAAGCTGCTTATAAAAAAAAATTTTAAAACAGAAAATCAGTTAAACTCAAGCGGTAACGACAAATGTTACTTGTAGAACTGGTCAGGCAGAGGCCTCTGCAGTAATTGATCTTATTCAGGCATATGTCTGTAGCATATAGGAAATTAGCACACAAAATTAAAGTAAAACCTGTAAAAAGAAAGCAACCAAACAAAGAACGTGTCGGCAGGAAGCCTTCGTCAGCGAAAAAACAACAACAAAAACAGAATAAAATTTAAAAAATAGCAGTTAGCGTAGTATCCAAGAGGGCAGAAAAAGAATTGTGTCTGTATAACATACACATCTGTTGACGAGCGAGGTCGTTTATTCTCGATATATTGTGTAGACTACCACTATTCAGCATAATTCAAACTAATGGTTGTTTTTTTCTACTCAGCATAATTCAAATTAATTGTTGTTGATTTCTATTTAGCATAATTCAAATTAATGGTTGTTTTTTTTTCTACTCAGCATAATTCAAATTAATGGTTGTTTTTTTCTACTCAGCATAATTCAAATTAATTGTTGTTGATTTCTATTCAGCATAATTCAAATTAATGGTTGTTTTTTTCTACTCAGCATAATTCAAATTAATGGTTGTTGTTTTTTCCCCTTTTAACTCTGTCATTGCGGTGACGCTTATCTAAATAGAGTCATCGTACTTAGGCTGTTTCATGTCTGTGGGAAAAGTCAGCTGACTGTGACGTAATGTTGTGAATTGAGACTACACACTTTCAAGTTTTAGGATTGCCTCTTTTTTATAGTTTCACATTCTTGTTGGTAAGCTCCTTGCATGATCTATTGTAAATAGCTGTACACTCTCGTGTAGTTGAATAAATTAGTTGAATATAATTAATTGATTTAAAATATATTCTTTGGGTAAACTTAATTATTTAAATTGTATAGTTGCTGTGTTTTGTTTGAGTTTCTAGTTGCTTCTTTATCTTTTTAATGATTAAGTGATTTTAAAAAAAAAAAATTTTATGACTATCAACCTTAGTCTATAGTGTTAGAAAAGGGATAACGGAAATTTCATAAATATTTTATGTGTTGACACACAAAATTGAGTAGTCAGGGTAGATAATTGGCGTTGAATTAGTGTGATTCATTTTCATGAAGGTGCTAATGTCTCAGAAATTGCATCGAAATTACAGACACGAGACTCGAGATAAAGTTTATAACGTGGGTCGTAGGGGAAGTAATCAAGTTAAATTTATGAAACATGAGAACGCAAGGCTTGATAAGAAAACAGGTAGCACAACGTCAGATCATTAAAACAGATTAAAACTTCTAGCAATACACACCGTCAGATCATTAAAACAGATTAACAACTTCTAGCAATACACACCGTCAGATCATTAAAAGAGATTAACAACTTCTAGCAATACACACCGTCAGATCATTAAAACAGATTAACAACTTCTAGCAATACAATATAGAGTCCAAGTGGTTTAGTGTTTTTTTTCCAGATCCCCCACTAAACCCAAAAGAAACCAAGGCGGCACCACAAAGATGGGAGGACTGTTTTCTATACGTTTGTACATTCTAAATGGTCTGCTGACGATGATTGCCTCACAGAGTTGCCTACCAAAAGTGAGTGAGAAAACAAGTGACCGTTACTGTTAAGCTATTAATATTATTATTAAGAAACGGCTTTGTCATTTGATAAAGTTGTAGGAGATTCCTTGTTCAGCTTTAAGTTATCTCTATCGAATTCTCGCTATCAAAGGGGATTTAAGGCCGTTCGCGACTCAATCCACTCTCCAAATTTTTGTCATTCCCATTGATTTAGAGCTAAGGTAGAAATGTGCTCTGAAATATCGATTTTAAATGGAGACCTAAGAATCAGTTAAGTTTTGTCCAAAAATCCCTTCTACACTTTCCCTCTTAACTCCCCATTTCATCATACAACATCATCTATACCTCCTCCCACTTCATTCTTGACTGTCCTCTCATTAAAGATATATATATATACTCTCATTTTGATCTCCAAATACTCAGCTCACCATAATTGTCTCAGTTACTCTTCACTGCCTTCTTCTTTCAATAAAAGTGATTTGTTTCCATACGTAAAATAAATTGCAGTTTTCATATTTTAAAAAAAAATTAATTGAATTGAAATTTGGCTTTGCTGTATGTTAATTGTAATTTTTTTTAAATCTATAATAAAAATAATTAATAGTTGTAGTATATCTATGTATAGATACATTTGATAAACCTTCAAGTGTATTACAGGAGTGTAGCTTCGATGTAATGAACGGGCAGTCAGTACATTGTACAGGTGGAAGCTTTTCAACATTTCCGGACCTCTCTAAGTGCAGCGGCCCAATTTATTGGATCACGCTTACCGTAAGACTCCGACTGCACAAGGTTTCACGTACCACTTCATTACAAACTGATTTTTAAAATATAAAAGACTTAAAGACTTTCCATACTCAAAAGACTAAGTGGAATGTAATCAAAACAAAAAGCTTTGTAGCGTACGCAATTATCTTATCTTATATCATCTTATCTTATCTCAATTATATTATTTTATCTCATCTTATCGCATCTTATTTATATAAAAATACATTTTACATTGCTTCATATGAATCAACAATAAATTTAATGTATGTATCTTTCATAGTGTGTTTTCACTTTCTATCTTCCAGCCAGTGAACAAGTTAAAGGCCTCAATTGTACTGTTTAGTTTTTAAGCAATGTTCGCCGCTTGGTTTAGTTAATACAAAATGAATTGTTATTTTGTTAAAAACAATAAGTTTTGGCAACAGTAATCAAAAGGATTTTTTCCTTAATCAATTTTTAAACAAATTTTTCAGAGGACTTCCATCACTAACCTGACCGACAACAGCGTACCACACCGACTGCTCTATCTCAGCTTCAACGACAACCCGCTGACTTCCGTTTCCGACGGCGCATTCGACAACTGCGGGAGAACATTGACCGCCTTAACGTTCGACGGTTCCCTCAACGGCACGATCCCGAACGCGCTTGAAAGGCTGACGGCACTGACCATTCTCAAGATCTCAAATCAAGACATCAACGACTGGAACGTTCCGGTGCTGCAAAAACTCGGAACGCACGTTCAAGACCTTACCCTGTCCAGCGTGTCCCTATCTGGCTGGCCGGACTGGCTGAAGCATTTCACCGAGCTAAACGCTCTAGAAATAAACAACATAACATCCCCGACTATCCCGGACGATGGTCTGCTACAGGTCACCAGCAAACTTATCACGCTAACCATTTCACAGCATAACTTTACGGAAATCCCCAAAGCGGTCACGGATCTGTTGGCCGTGAAATTTCTTAATTTACCCGATGGAAAAATCAAGGAAATAAAAGGATTGCCGCCCCAGGTGGAAGGTTTGAATTTGGAGAACAACCTGATAGAAAAAGTAGAGGACGGCACCTTTAAATCTCTTGGCGACTTGGAGACGCTTCACTTGGACTACAACCCGCTTGTCAGCATCGCCCAAGACGCGTTCGTCAATTCGTCAGTGATTTCGTACCTGACCTTACAGGCAACGAACTTAGCGCGCGTCCCGTTGGCATTCCTGCACATGCCCCACATGATGTTCCTCAGGATGGAGGACAACGCTGGTCTCGTGTGCACGTGCGACGAGGCTGCTCTCGTGCCGTGGTTTGAGAACCTGCCGTACATGTCCTTCATCGGAGACTGCGGCGTTATAGGAATAAGGTCGTTTTTCACAACGCTAGCGAAAGATTGTCCAAAAAATGGTTTTTGAAAACTTTGAATTGAATGAATGCGGCGAAAATGGGGCGGAAACAGATTTAATTGAACGGAATATTTGTTCTTGTTTATTACTTAGTCAGGTCAATACATTTATCTTGTTTTTATTTGATTGTGATTTTTTTTTTAGTAAGGAGCCTCTGTTCTTCATGATTAAACAATAGCCCCCTTGGTATTGCTTGCTTTATTTTAGTATTGATTTAATTATACAATAACGCGCTATTTTTTTTAACAATAAATCTCTGAGTGAGTCGGTACATTTTTGTAAGTGGTTCCAGCTGGAAATTTACTTAATTTTTTTAAAAATTAAAATATCCTAGCCTGGAATAAACGCAACAATATTGTGGGCTACTTGGAAAATTTAAATCAAACTGTACTTTTTTTTCTTTAAAATTAAGTTTTTGAAAAAGTTGTATCTTCTTGTGTTCCTGTGTAACGCTATAATTTAACATTGTGCTGCGGGATCGCGTATTTTGTTTTCATCAATTTATGAAGACAACATTTAAAAATAAGCCTCACATTTGCATAACTTAATGGCTCATAGGACTAAGTATGTTTGCATTTTTTTTTTGCAGATCCCATTTCAATGAAAATATTTAGTCAAAGAGTGTTAGGCAAATTATAACCCTACAACATTTTGAGTATTTGTCATATTAGTTCTCCTTTGGATTGAAGTCGACACTTCTTTTCCTTGCCAAGCTTTGAGCTCTCTTTGGGTTTGAGCGGTGTGTTTACTCTGTGAGGATTGTGCCCCTCCCCCCCCCCAAAAAAAAAAAAGAAAAAAGAGTCTGCCTCGCCAGCTTGTACGATCCATAGCAAGTGTTTTCCCACGAATTTACGTTAAATATCAAAGGATTTTATGTAAGATTTAAGACTGTTTTTAAATAGTTTGTTTGTTTTTTTTGGCCACCGCCAGCTGAGCGTTTTCTCTGGAAAGTTCCCCGAATATTAGTTGTAAATTAGGAAGTCTGCTGTCTTGTATTCTCGCAACACGCCCTGTCCGTCTGGCTTGTCCTTTTTGTAAGAGCGTAAATTCAGCCTGATGTAGGGCTTCTTTTCAGGGCTTTGTTTCTGCCAACTTATGCCAAAAGGGGAAAAAAATGTGCTTAAACCAGGTGGATAAGTTTTAGTTGTCTGGTATTACACTGTCCGCGTCGCGTTCCCCTATGGAAGAGTTGTTAATACGACTGCCCTATAATGTAATTTCAGCTTAGGGACAAGAGTCCCCACGTGCCCAACCTATCTTGCAAAATTTTGCCATTGACTTTGGAAATTCGGTAATTGATTTCATCATCTATTTATACTGAACGGGGGAGGGTACCGCCCATGCAAATATGTGAATTTTTCCACTGGTTGGAGTTTCTGTTTAGAAAAATAATGCTACAATCCAATCCAATATCTGACCATTTTCATTTACATTGTAAAGTTCCGTTCATTCCTCAAGGTGTTGCCTGCCTATGTCTTTCAGTAAAATACGTCTCTCAGCCTTCAGCAACAGTCTACAAAGTTTCGGGCATACTTGGCGGCATTCAATACTAACAGACTAAGAAGTTAATTTATGTAAACCAGTACGGGAGTGAACATCGGCGCTGACACCTGCGGTGCACTCTGTTCAAGGGCTCTCTTCCTCGATAGTTTATTCCCAAACCCTTGAAAAAGACATACATCCAAATAATATTATCAATTAAACCTTTATTAATACAAGTTAATGGTGTCACCTGTCCAATATAGATTCAAATGTAAACCGGACCACCGTACTCGTTGTGGGCCTGTCGGGGGTCCAACTGTGTGGAGCTTATCCAGGGCCGTTGGTTATGGGCTGCAGAAGACAGTCCCGTGTGATCTAATGGTTACTTCCGTGACACCCAAACCAAGCACTCATGTTACGGTATTTTACTATGTCCACAACAAATACACATGCAAATAACCAAGGTGACAAAGTATAAAAGATAAAAAGGAAAATAATTCAAATTGTTTCTTCAAAAACGTACATTATATATATATATATATATATATATGTATTTATTTATTTATATTTTCTACAAAGAAGAACTGCTGTAGAAACCAATTCCTTGAAAAAAAAAAGAAAAGTCTTATTTATCTCAACAGTCTCGAGTTGTATGGACACCTTTCGAATGAATTCCACACAGTAACATTCCTAAATTGCCTAGGTACAGTGCTGGATTGAGGTCTTAGTGACCTGGCGCTCAAAAAACGCACAATTGTTTTCCTTTCTTTTTTTTTTTTTGTAATTGACCTTATTATCAGTAAAAAAAATTGAAATAAACTATTATGGCACTTAAGGATGATATTAGTTGTGTGTGTGTGACAGGCTTCCGTTGCCTTGGTACGAGCTCCTGTTTAATAAAAAAAAGTGGATGCAAAGTCTTTGTTATATGCTCTTTATGTTCTAATAAACGCCACCTATATTACGACATTGGTACGGGTTACCTGCAGCCAATGACCAAGGCGACACTGAAAGGCTGCGGAGCACGCTACCATCAGAATGAAAACATTTCTCTAACGTTCATCTATATCAGTTTTCGGTTCAGGCGCACTGTCTCCCGCATAATGACTGCCTGGTTGTTGTTGTTGTTGTTTTTTTTTTTTTTTTTTTTTTGGCACTGGAGCTGGACTGCATCCAGCCGCTCAAACTGACGCGATACAAAGATAAACTTAAAATTTCTTCAGTAACGACTCATGCCAAAACAATGGAGCCACGCCTCACTGTTTCAAATCCTCTTTATGAAATAACTTTTTTTCATTTCCCTGTTCTTTCCTTTTTCGGGCAACACTTTGTCTTTTATGTACATTCAGGACAACTTATTCCTTGGGAAAAGTGGACATACACAACTTAAATTTTTTTGAACGTAATAGGTCTGGCGCCCGTGTGAAAGTTGAGCCATAGTTAATCTGACGCTGCTAAAGTCCTCAGTTCGTTCAAGCATGTATTTTCTTCCTTCTAAATACTGCATATTTCGAATTTCCAGATTCTGTCCTCGTAGTAGTTGTTATGAACACTGTGAGCACCCTTGATGGCCTTGCCCTCGCCCACGACCAAGGTCAGCTTACCGTCCCACGTGTTGACCTCACCTGTCAGGTAGCAGTCACGTGGTGAGCGCCCGAGAATATTGCAGCACTGGAACCCGTACCTACGGTCTTCGAAGTGGTTGTCATGGTAACCGCTGACGCCGGTCACAAACTTGTCCCCGGGACATTTGAAGTCCAGCGGGTTGTCAAAGGAATTCACGTAACCTGGGGAATGACAACATTCAAACTTCGCGGTCAATTTAAGACTGAAGATGCGGTAGAGGATGTCTAGATAGAGCAGCATTAACAATTTAGTTATAGATACGTATAGTGTTTTGGTTTGGTTTTTGTTTGTTTGTTTTGTTGGTGTATTGTTTGGATTTTTTTATTTATTGTTTTTTGTTGTTATTTTTGTTGGGTTTTTTTTTGGGGGGGTGAGGGTGGTGGGGGAAATGGAGTGGCCAAAAGTGTAGTAAATAAATCCAGAATAGTTAAATGTTTGTTCCGGAAAATATTCCTTTTAACTAATATAGACGAATTATGAGGCGGAAAAGCTGTATCAATAGCACTGGGACTGAGACGGTACGACATAGTAAAGCAGTATCAATATCGCTGGGACTGAGACGGTACGACGTAGGAGAGCAGTATCAATAGCATCGGGACTGAGACGGTACGACGTAGGAAGCAGTATTAATAGCATCGGGACTGAGTCGGTACGACGTAGGAAAGCAGTATCAATAGCACTGCTACTGAGACGGTACGACATAGGAAAGCAGTATCAATAGCATCGGGACTGAGACGGTACGACGTAGGAAGCAGTATTAATAGCATCGGGACTGAGTCGGTACGACGTAGGAAAGCAGTATCAATAGCATCGGGACTGAGACGGTACGACATAGGAAAACAGTATCAATAGCACTGCTACTGAGACGGTACGACATAGGAAAGCAGTATCAATAGTATCGGGACTGAGACGGTACGACGTAGGAAGCAGTATTAATAGCATCGGGACTGAGTCGGTACGACGTAGGAAAGCAGTATCAATAGCACTGCTACTGAGACGGTACGACATAGGAAAGCAGTATCAATAGCATCGGGACTGAGACGTTATGACATAGGAGAAGACCGCCTGAGGAAACATATTCTCGCAGAAGGTGGAAGCTGCACAAACCTGGTCCAATCGTTACCAGGATGGCTCTGGTCTTGAATCACAAGGATAAATGAAGAACGAGGCTGGTAATGCAAAGTACACTGGAGATGTTGACTGGAGACGGACACGAAAATGAAGGGAAGTAACTACATAAACTTTGGAAAAGTGGGTTGCCAGGGAATCTCTTGTTGTTATACGGGGTCGTTGCGAGGGCCCTGCTACCCTTGTGGCTACATGGGGCCGTCTCGAGGGCCCTGCTACCCATGTGGCTACGAGGGGCCGTCTCGAGATCCATGCTACAGGGGGCCACGGTTTTTTCAGGAGACCGATGATGACGTGGGTTAATAAATAAAGTACCACTATGAGCTCAAGCGGACAGAATACCAAAAATTTGGAATTTGGGCTTACAAGAGTCAAGCAACGCCTCTGATGTAGGCCATGTGACTATGGGATTCCTCTAGTTTTATATGATATAGCGTACTATGTTCAAATAAGTCCTCCAGTTGTGACTAACAGACTGATCTTACCTCTCTCCCCCCCCCCCCCCCACCCTAAAAATCCTGCTGGCTCTCATGTAAAATATAGGTAAATGGATAAACTATGCATGATAACCTAATTGCTCTGGGATGTGGCTTATTTACACCTGTCCCCCTTACCCACTTAGGTCATGCCATTGTATACAGGGAAGTCATTTATTATATTAAACAAAGAAATGGGGCTCAACACAACGTAATAAGGGACATCTGTTTTGACGGACGACCGCCGCAAACCGCTAGGTTTATGCTACTGGCTGTCACTCTGACAAACACTTCAGACCAATTTAAAAGATTCATGAACGAGGCATTACACACACGATGTAATAATTTTAAAAAGCGATTACTATACGTAATAAAATCTGGGAGTGAAAATATTTATTTAAATCCCTACGGCCTACGACTCAACCAAATTTAATGAAAAATTCTAATGGATATTCACACTATTTTCTTTTCATCATTTCTCAGAAATCTATTTTCATGCAGAACCGAGAATCTTTCTGGCTTATATTTTTATTATTGTTATTTTTTTTATTTTTTTTTTTTGGTAACTTAGTGTTAAAAATGTACTCCTTATTTTATTGAACTTGACCTAGATGCCCGCAGATTCCCTTTGACCTGAATCATTGTTTTCAAATACAAATCATTTGACATACATTCAAATTGAAAGTTTCGCCAACAAAATGAAAACAAAAACGTTTCCTTTATAAACCATCGGAACGACTGACGTCAAGTGTCCACTTAGCTGAATGGATTTCAGTTCAGATTGATTGATGTCAAGTGTCCACTAAGCTTAATGGATTTCAGTTCAGATTGACTGATGTCAAGTGTCCACTAAGCTGAATGGATTTCAGTTCAGATTGACTGATGTCAAGTGTCCACTTAGCCGAATGGATTTCAGTTCGGAACGACTGATGTCAAGTGTCCACTTAGCCGAATGGATTTCAGTTCTGAACGACTGATGTCAAGTGTCCACTTAGCCAAATGGATTTCAGTTCGGAACGACTGATGTCAAGTGTCCACTTAGCCGAATGGATTTCAGTTCTGAACGACTGATGTCAAGTGTCAACTAAGCTGAATGGATTTCAGTTCTGAACGACTGATGTCAAGTGTCCACTAAGCTGAATGGATTTCAGTTCTGAACGACTGATGTCAAGTGTCCACTAAGCTGAATGGATTACACTGAAATAAACCGATACAAAAATCATACGAAGTTTGTGGCGTAGGAAATGAGGGGTTTTAGGGGGTGTTGCAGCCTGGGCTAAACTTTTTTCTTTATGTTTAGAGGGGGGGGGGCATTTTCGTTCAACTGCTGAGGGTGTTTTTTGTTGTTGTTGTTTTGTTTTTGTTTTTTCGTTGGTTTTTTTTTTGTTGTTGTTTTTTGTGGAAAGAAGGGGGAGGAGAAAAGTTCTGGGGCCGACCCGGTTACCCTAATCCTAGATTCGCACCTGTTTGTTTCCATATTGGGGAACAAACATGTTAAAATCAACAAAAGAGACTATGATTGTGGGCTCAATCACAACATCAAAAGAGACTATGATTGTGGGCTCAATCACAACATCAAAAGAGACTATGATTGTGGGCTCAATCACAACATCAAAAGAGACTATGATTGTGGGCTCAATCACAACATCAAAAAAGACTATGATTGTGGGCTCAATCACAACAACAGAAGAGACTATGATGGTTGGCCCAATCACATAAAAGAAAACCTAACAAACTACAGGCTCTAGAAAAACCAGCAAGAACTAAGGGTGGGGGTGAAGGGGGGCGGTCAGTTGAGTGCTGCATTTTTTTTTAAAACAAATGCAAAATTGTTCGTAGTGGTCAGGGGCTGACCTACACCTCACACTGCCAAAGGCTATCTCTGAAAAAATGCATCCTCTACCCACCAAAGCACACACACACTATTCCGGTCTTCTTCCAAGTTGACATTTCCTCTCAGCTGTCTTAAATCATTGAATTTAGTAAGGAAAAAAGCCCGCCTCGAAAATAAAAAAACAAAACAATGAATTAAGTAAAAAGAGACCAGCGAAACCAACAGATGAGCAACGAAAGATCGAACTTTGAAAGAACTCTTAATGAAGGGCGTATTAAAGAAAAAGATGACGAACGAATGAAATGATTCAAGACAAAAATTAAATGAACTATTAATTGTCAAAACCATTTCTATTGAAACAGAAGAAGTAATAACTGACGGGTTATTAATAATAATAGTAATAATAATAGAAATTTTACCATTCCCATGGATTTTGCAATACTAATCACCTTTGGCTATGACAACATTGATGAGCATGATAATGATAAATTAAAATGAATGTCACAAATATAAATCTTACCATTCCCTTAGTTTTTCTTCCACAAAACTATTTACATAATTTTTGTCTAGGCCTAATTGAAATGTAATTTTGTGGTTATATAGGACCAGTAGGTCATCATGCAGCTGTGGGCAGCTTTCGCTGAGTATTAGTCATATATAACATACAATAACAGCAAGACGTCGATCATTAATGAATATCGGATTGTCTGCCTAGAGACAGAAAGACAGTCTGACTTCTGGTAGATTACCAAAAACCTCAGTCACTTTCGGCCGGATGGCCGAAAGTCTCAGTGAATTTCGGCCTATACCGAAATTAAGCCGAAAGTTAACTTTTCAGTTTCGACCGAAACCGAAACAAGGCCGAAAGTGATCAAATAGCCACTTTCGGCGCCGAAACCGAAATTTTGTCGGTCTCTACTTATCATGGGTCCTAACTTCTCAATGGGTCCTAATTTCTCATGGGTCCTAACTTCTACGTGCTGAGGAAGTGTAAAGCATACTTTTTATTGATTTAGTGTAGGTCTGTATTATTCTAGCTGTCACATAGGCCAGCATTGACGTCACATAAGCCAGCATTGACGTCACATAAGACAACATTGAAGTCACACAGGACAGCATTGAGCTTGTTATTTTAAGTCATCCTAAGAAAGTATCTCTCACATTTCGCTATTTTATGACAATCTCCTGGTTGATAGCGTGTTTTTTCCCCTACTTCACTCCTTTTTTCAACCTAATTTTCAATTAAACTGGGTCAGAATAAAAGACTAAATTCATTGTATAGAATTTAGCCACTTTACAGTTCCACTATCCCATAATACTAAGTAGCGATTGATAGTAAAATTTATATTATGCTTTGCGTCTTTCGCGTCCTAAATGCCGCAACCCTTAAATTAAGAAAAAATGTGCCGCCAATGGCGGACCACCTCACTGTTAATCCATCTAAGCCTCGGTCGACGGGAGAGCCACCTGAATCCGGCATCCTCTCAAGATGTCCTGTCCGGCACAGTCTGCCTTTTTTAAATTGTTGCAACTACCCGTGGGCCTTCGTACAATTTGATATATCTCTGCTATCCGCCACAACTTTTTCTCTGGTTCCTGCCCTTCCTATCTTACTGAACTTCTGTTTGTCTATTCACCCCTTCGAAAGCTTCGTTCCTCCGCAGACGCGCGTATTCTTTCTGTTCCCAGAACCCCATTAAAATATATGGTGAACGATCTTTCTCTTTCTGTACCCCCAAACAAGCCAATTCTCTCCCATTACACATCCGCAATATACCGACCATCCCAGCCTTCAGAACTGCCCTCAAGACCTATCTCTACAAACTCTATAACTCTATTATAAAGAATCATTATCACCCCCCCCCCCAACTGATAAACAACGCTCAATGCTGCTGGGTGCTGTCCGTAGCTAGACAGGGGTTAGATAGTACTTGGATGGAGAGGGCAAGCTTTTCCCAATTGTTCTATATAAATGTATAGTTTTCTGTAATTGCTAATTTTTATTTGAAGCGCAGGGACCCTAGCCCTAGGCTGGCGTACTGCGCTTTGTAAAGCCACCTTAGTTATAATAATAATAATATCTTTTGGTTAGAACATATTACTCATCCATCATTACATATCACAGAACACTATATTATCCTGAGGATTTTCCTCTCCTATGTATACTAAATGTTGTCATTGGCGCATATCATTTGCAAATAGCAGCAAACGATCTGCTGGTGACTGTTGCGCCACTGAAAGGCCCCCAAGTAGCTGGCAAACAGAGCGCGACTAGTACCACTCTGATAGCGGAGTTTACGTTTTGCTTGCATCTAAAGTACTTCAATTGTTTCTGTGTTAATGTCTTGGTCAACTGTCTACTGGTCAACAAATTCACGCTCATGCACAATGACACAGTGAGCACACATCCCGTTATTGAGCTGACCGACATTTTGATATCCTCACCAAGCGTCCGTGATGATAGTTGTCCCTGGTAACATATGGTTAATGATAATGCGATCAATTTTAACATAGTTTGCCATAATTTAACAAATGTATTGAAACATATACGCAGACATGAATTTCAAAATAAAATGACGCCTAATACTTTTAAGTAAGGAGTAATCATTGGAAATAATTTGGGTCCGGGCTTGGGGGATTTCCACATTTTAGTTAAGGGAAAATTGAAAGTTCTGAAAATAATTATGTAGGAATACTTATTGCTAATTGTGTGTGATTATTTATTTTGGGAAGCTACATTAATTAAACTGAATTTTCTACTGTCGGCGCCAATGTTCCCTCTAAGGTTTGTTGGTTCGTGTGAAAAATAATAAATTTGTGTGCACATTTTTACAGCATCAATTTTTTTGTGCGCAAATTTTACAGCCAACAGACAGAAACACACCCTTAAGTGGAAATTAGCTGCGCGGTACTCAAAACTGCTGCGCAGCGTCTGTGAGATTACTTCGCGGCCGCGCAGCTGAAAGGGAACATTGGTCCACGCCCTTACCAAATTAATGTTTGTATCAACAACAGCCATTTAAATACAATCATTAAAAGTGAGCTATCTCGCAGTGTCTTTGTTAGAATTTGAGACCTGGACGTAGTAAGGGTTCGGGGACTATACAAAATTGGAACCTCTGTATAGATTATTTAAACAAAAATACACTCCCAATCAGATGCACATTGTTGAGAATGTGGCAAGACACAGTACGCGAACTTGTGCGCTACTTGAAGGGAGGTGTTTAGTGTCAAATCAGTGGGCTTGTTTTCCTGCGACAAAAAAAGTATAGTATGGGCCTATAAGGTAAATGTTTATTATATGAATTTCTCTAGCATGATGGGTGCAAAGTTTAGTTCTTGTCGTGGATACTGTAACTATAACTCTAAATTGAACTGGTCGGCTTTTGCCTCCAATTCCTATGTCCAGGACCGTGCTGAGGAAAACCTGTGCCCCCGACAAACCCTAATTTTGTTTTGTGATTTGCTAAGTTTGTTTAAAAAATAGTTAAAACGATTTCTATGTATCGCTGATTTTTTAAAAAAAATTCACTTCTATTCAATCAAACTTTTCCAACTGAACTATTCTCAAATTATTTTCTTCCTCCCGTGATCTTGGTTATTAGGATGACCAAATTTCATGAGATCGTTTCCCGTGCTTTTTTAAAACTACCATAACCGTTTAATCTTTTGAATAGCTTGTTTGTAAGCTTACAATTAAGTAACACTCTTGACAGTTTTGTATGTAAGTATGCTATTATTAAAGCTGAGTACTTATTTTAAATTTAAGGATGCATATTTTGCATTCCGCAGAAGCACAATGTGGCTCAGACTGTTTTGCAATAGCCTCATCATTTGGTGATTTACAGCCTGCAAAAAAAATCATGGTTATCGGAAATTTGTTTGAAAGAAATTTCGTCGAAGGAAATTTGATCGACGGAAATTTCATCGAACGGAAATTTGGTCGAATCGTTTTTTCAGTTCAGTTTTGGCACAGATATCTTTTTGAACGCATTATTTTGGGCTAATTTGGAGAGATAGCACCAATGTTCCCCCTAAGTTTTGCTGGTTCAATGTTCATGTCTGCAATGATTTAATCCTCATAAGCATGTGAATGTCTAAATGCAAGTATTCCAGCCTATGCCTGTCTTTTATTTTTATTTTATTCATTAGGGATTAGGCTGAATCCACATTCACAATCGGCACTTGATGCAAGAAATGTAGCCAGCACAAATATCCAAAATAATGGCACCGTATTGTTACTAATTTATTACAAATCGAACCATCATGTCGAAAGTCTGCATCATCAACCCACATTTAATTTTTTTTTTTTTGCTAGCACAAAACTTAAGTAACGTTACTGATCATTAACTTTCGGCAGAATGTCATTGTAGTTTTCCAGTTTTCCACATATCTAGAAGCCAGTGAAGCAAGTTGTCTTGACTAAATTTAAAATATGAAGTGTCGATTAACGATGATATCTCAAAGATTCGCCATTACTTCAACTCACTTTCAGGGAAACAAGATTCCATGAGCAAACATAAACATTCAATGAAATTAGGATGGAACTCATGCTTGTATTCTTGTCATTCGCAAGCAATTCAGCAACCTCTTCAGACCAGTGCACATATTCACCAAGGTACTGGGCACGGAGCTTAGCGAACCTTGCTATTACAAACTGATAGGCTTTAATGGCTTTTTCTTTGTAGCAACATGCATAATTCAGCAAGTTCACCAACATTTTCATCAAAGAAGATCAGTGCAGTTCGAAACTGCGGATCCTTTAGTTTCTTCAAACAGTACTAATCATCTTATGAACTGGATAATTATACAGGTCCCCCCCCCCCTGATCCTCACAGTATTCAGTCAACACTTGTATGTTTCTTAGCAATGCTCGTAAAGCAAAGTGCAGTGAAAGTCATCTGATTTCAATTAATCATATTACAACACTTTAGCTATTTCGGTAAACAGGGCTTTCCGTACTTTCCACCTACTGAACAATGTGTACACTGTCCTAAGAAATGTTTCAATGTCTGCCATTAAATTATGAAAAAGCCAATGTTGTTCTAGTAGATGTGGAATACTTCAGCGAATAATTGCTGCAAATCCATTGTTCTTGTCTAGCATAACCGATGCACCAATCAGAGGTAAACATAACCATTTTATGCAAGTCCAGTGAATTCTCTTGACAAAACTCTGTTTTTTCTGATTCCACAAGTTTTTGTCACATACCGACAGAGACAAAATTCCAACAAAGACTTTCTTGTAAACATTACCGGGATATGGCCGTAACTTTTCGTTTAAGATCAACATATTTGTCAGCGACATATCAGTGCTCTCATCTACTGTTAATGTGTGGAACTTTGCATTGCGAAATTCACTAATTATAGCATCCTTTACTCCAGATTGATAGACTGAACAAAGACAAAAGCGTAATTCTTACTGCGCCAAATATCAGGGACTGGGGCATACTTAGCCAAAAGGTTGTGTATGTATTGAACTGCATTCATAGACGTATTCATGTTAATAGCCAAGAGGATGTTTTCAATCAAAATTTTAACCTGTTCTTCTTTAGCACTTTTTCGTTGTGCTGCTTCTTGTCTCATTCCTCGATCAGCGACACTTTCTGCAAGTATTCTCAGTACACCTCCTGACTGTCTAGAATGAAGTCTCTGTACCGCATCTGTTTTTTTTTTAAAGTTCGTTTAAGATAACCCAACTTCCAAGCCTCCCACCTTTTCACTGTGGAGAAATCACTGTCTGCATTATCTTTGAAGCCCATTTCACAGTCAAAATCATCATCAATTTCACAATATTTAAAAATATCACCCAGCTTGACAGTCTGCTCTGACAATGAATCTGATAGTGCTGCATGCACATATTTATTGAGCCATTCCGTTTTTAAATTTGATCTACACTTTTTCTTAGCAATCGATAATGCTGACAGTTCCCTAAACTGACATTTAGACATAACGGTTAAACATTATTAAACATAATTTATGATAAACTAGAATTATGCGATTTATTTAATTTATACACATACATGTGCAGTATGCTCCACAAAATTTACACAAATTGCGGGGGTGACTCAGATCGAGGCTAGCTTGATCCGATATGTATCAGTTTGTAAATCATTATTTCTATGTAAAATGTAGAAGACAAATAGACAAAAATGTAGAACTGAATCAAATTAAAAACATGGATGTATATGTTATAAAATGATATAATTCCGGCTGTGGGGTGCAGCGAATCAGTTCAAATTTATTTTTATAAAAATCAGCTGTGCGGATACTCAAAATTCCAGCTCAGCATCTGTGAGATAGCTGCGCGGCCACGCAGCTTAAAGGGATAGCACAAAATATCACTATTCTAAGTTTTTTATTGACATTGTTGCTTATTTATCCTAAGCCTCTTAGTTCCTCTTTAAGCTGTAGTATATCTATTGATTTAACTTATATCATTTTAAAAAAATTCCTTACACTTTGCACCAGATATATACAACCTGGTACTAAAACTTGTTAAAGTAAAAGTGATAACAATTTTTTGAAACATAATAACAATAAGCTAACCTATTGGAAAAAATACTAATCTCAAAATAAAAGCCAAGTGGTTAAATATTATTAATATATTTCATTTATTTGTATTTCTATTCTTAATTTTATTAATTTATTATTAATCAGGTAGAATAAATGCTTAACTGTTTTTTTTAAAAATGTGTTTTAGGCTATCACCCCAGGAGCTTTCTGGTCTCTCAACCAAACAGTATGACGGATCGGGCCAAGCGCAAGTCAGATGCGAAAATACATATCAGGTCTCTTCTTCAGTCAGCACCTTTAGGATTAACTTTGGCAGAGCTCAGGAGAGACTATGTTGATTACATAGGCACACGTCTACCAAGCAGAGACTTAGGATACAATAATGATGAAGAATTCCTATATGATATTCCAGACACAGTGCAAGTAATGTTAAATATCTTTTTTTTTTTTTTTTGTAATGATGATATCATGTAAAAGATTAACTTGGTGTTTTTTCCAAGTAATAAAAATATGTGACAAGAAGTCTTAATGATCATAAGCAAAACAGTTTTTTGTTCTTTTTTTTTTTTCAGTTGTTTAAAACAAAAAAATATTTATTGTGACAGACTTCTAATGTAAAAAGTTATTTCATCTCAGTCTTATTACAGGCCTGAGCCATATCTATATGAGCTTTGTTTTTTTTTAAATCTTATAATTTTCTTCTCAGATATCACACAATGGGGATATTATGGTTCTGACTGCTGTTACAAATGCTGCCACGGAAAAAATACATCGACTGGTTTCCAGACAGAAGGTTGACACAAAAAAAAAATGGGGGGTGCTGGGAAGGCAAAGGTCAAAATTTCAGGCACCGAGGGGCGTTGGCCAAAGAAGAAAGTGGGACACCTTTGGTGGCAACGGGAGAGCTGACTTTGTTGATCTAAGCAGGCCACTAATGTTTGACGTAAGACAAGCCAAACACAGGGTTCTTCCATCGGTTCCGTCCTATATACGCAAAAAAATATTTGAACTTGTGAAGGATGAACCAGGTGGTCTACCGCTGACACACTTTGGGATTATATTTCGAAAGCATTTTGGTGTTCCCTTTGATCCAGTCGCAATGGGATTTTCAACAGACTATGACCTACTCGCTAGTTTAGGCGATATTGTAACCTTAAAAAAGTTTGGAGAAGAAATAAGGGTGATAGAAGCTGGACTGGGGCTATTTAGCCACCATCGACAACAAATGCATACACATGATGATACTCGATATGCAAGGTACAATGGTCCAGTTGATCAAAGTAAGGCCCAAGAAAAGCCACCCTCGAAAAATCTACTGGAAAAATCTGGTTTGTTTTGTTTATACTTCGTAGGCCGTATTTCATAAATAGAGTTTGAAATATTTTTTTAAAATAATGCTGTTGTTGGTATCAATTTATTTTTTCTTTTAAAAGTTACTTGTCCTAATTATTACTATTTTTTAACTGTCTCCAATGTAATAAGTCATTTACTACTAAGTATTGTTTTATTCTTTATCTTCTAAATTGACTAACATATTAAATTAGTTCTACTGTTTCATTTAGCGAAAGAAACGAAAAGCCAATGCATTGAAGAAATAAAGAAAGCCAAAAGCAAGAAGTCTGTAACATATGAAGACAATCAACAATCTAAACTCATAGGAATGGACCTAAATTGCAACATTCCAGAATTTGTTCAAGAAAATATTAAACAGGTAGGTCTTGTCAGAGAAAGAAAATTAAAATATAGTTTCCTTTTTTTTCCCCTCCCCAATAGTATAAGATGAAGCTATGAACTCAAGGCTGTGGTCTGTGGAACAACTAACTTTATTCTAAATTCTTTTTATACCCTTGCATCACATGACTATCCACTCCAGTTATTCAACCAATATTAACACATTTAAGTTTAAACATTCATGAAAACAACTGACCACATCCAGTCCAGCAGCATGATAACAACAAAGGACAATCATGTCACCAAGTTAAGGCAATACACACCACAACAATACTGGTCAGTCAAACAGTTACTCATACCGTCACAGATTTAGTTTAGGATAATATTTTAAGATGCAAAAAAAGTAACCAATAGTAACATATTTACCTGTAAATTTGAAAGTAATATGATGTTTTTAACTTGCCTCATGAATTTTATGAAATTATTTCTAAAAACAGGTCATGGATAAAAGACCAAAGGGTAATTTGTGAAAGTCGTGTACCCTTTGAATACAAGGTACTATTTAAATAATGACGAATTTAATGAATTTATTTCTAAAAACAGATCATGGCTAAAAGACCAAAGGGAATTTGTGCAAGTCGTCTACCCTTTGAATACAAGGTACTTTTTAAATAATGAATTTTTTTTATCTAAAAACGAGTATTAATGATGAATCAAGTAAACAAATTTTAGTCACTCACACATAAATCATTTTTCAAAAAAATTAAGAAGATAAATTATCAATAAGTGTTAATGTTTATACTTTTCTATGGTTTTAGTTTATTTACCATCAGTTCTCATATTTTAGCATATTGACCTCTATGGATTATTAAAAACTAGCATTAAGTGTGATAAAATATACTTAAAATTCCATTTTTAATTTTTTTTTTTCTTAAAGTTAATATTTCTTCAGTGGTAGTCACATCTATTTTTTATAACCTGGAATATATGAGACTTTACAGATGGCTTCGTTTACACTTTGGATTAACCCTTTTTGAATGAACACAATGCTTCACTTGTATTAAATAATACACCAAACGTCACATGTTGATCTCAATATATGTTTGTTATTCCCTTGGTTTTGTACATTAATGGATCAACAGTGGCACTACAGCCCATACAGGGCTCTCCTCCTCAATATTGTCAATCCATCTCATTCGTTGTCGACCAATGTGATCTGTGCCCCTTGGCTTCTGGTAATGCACTACCATAGTTCCTCTGTTGTCTGTGTTTCACCCCACCCTATCTTCCTTTTTTTTATATTCAAATACTATGGTTAGAGTATCATAAAATTGATGTAGTTATTGGTTGGTGGTCCTTTGCCTATCATCCTTGTTAAACATATTGTTCTCAGAACTTTCCCTTCCCGGTCATTAAGGTGTTTTTCAGCTACGGTCCATGTCAGACTTTAATATGTAACCACTGGTCATATCATAAAGGCGTATATTATTTTATTTATATTTTGTTAGAAGGTTTGACTCTTAATATTTTTGAAAGCAAAATTATGTAAAATAGTGTGCTGCTATCCTCATCTAAATGTTCGTAATTGGTTTATTTTGGGACTGAGCTGGACACTGACCCGGATACTGAATATTAGCACACCCAGCTCATGGATATGATTTTTATTATTTGTTGAGTTTTTTTTTTTTGTCATTTATTTTGTTTTTTCCTGCTAAACTTAAAAGCTGGCAGCTTCCAGGCAAGACTAACCATGTGTGTCATTTAATATTGAAAAATCGAGGGGTTGACTTACAGAGCTGCTTCTACAGAATCATCCACCCTTCTTAGCCATTATATCTGCTTCTACACCTGATCAAAATTAACGCCTTGTTATCTACAAAAAGAGTGCTTCTCCTTCTCAACACCTTTTTCCCACTGTCAAGGTATAATTATGGTTGTGTGTTGCTATAAATTGGCCGAACTATGATGCCTTCGTGATCACAGCTGGTTCTGTACATTTGAATTCTCCCCATCGGGTGGCAAATATAGAAAATGAGAAGATAACTCTTTTTAATAACTCCCTGACTTGGACCCACAGTGAATTGTCACGAAATACCCAGTCTGGGTGTAAATAACTGCATGGCTCCGCCCTAAGTTATTTTTTTCACTAATGCTGTAGCCAGAGGTTCCCAAACTTTTTTAAATTCTCGGCATCCTTGCTTAATCCTGGTTTTTCTCTAGGAGCATTATATCAATTTCTAACAAGGTCACAGAAATATAGATAATAGTTTATTATTACATGGTTAGGTAAAGGTCTATAAAATATGTATTCAAGATCACACAATAAAAGGTAATGAAATAGTCATTTTATTGTAATTAGTAGGGGGGTCTAGTCTGTTCAACCCACATCTTCTAAAATCTTGTAATTACACAGGACACCGCCTAACCCCTAGCCAAATAAATTGTATATTGTGTGGGGGAAGTGAGGTCCAATCACAGTGAATTGAAAATATTAAGCTAGCCACAAGTGCACACTGTCAACTTCAGACATTTATAGCAATTTTTTCGCACACAAAAACCAGCCATCCTGTGTCGTATATCATGTGCCGCTGGCTGTACCATCAGAAAATGACTTCCCCATTAAAAAAATTAAATTTTATTGCCAGGAAACTTTTCACTGTGAGTTCCCATATAAGACCTACGGCTACAGCAGTGTCATGGAGTTTGTGTCAGATCTACCTCATATCATTAAATGTGAAAGGCCCCATCCACAAGGAGATTGGCAACTTTATGCTAGGAATGGAAGTCACCCTCAAATTGGTAAGTAGAAAAGCAAACCTGTTTACGCTTACGATTTTGGCATACAATGTACGGTTTGGAGTTTATTTTTTTGCTATTAACTGGTTAACTGCCATGAGTGGCTCGGCGTTTCTTTCGTTATGGCCACGAGTCGCTGGTAGCGCCAATGTTAGTATCGTAATAAATCGAGTCAAATATTAATATTATTGTTCCTGTTTCGCTTCGAGATTTTAATTTACCAACCGGATTTTTATATTTGAAACTCATGCTATCGGCAGAATGTTTTGAAAAACAAAATGTTAATCAGTTTTTATTTAATTTCCTCGCTAGTTACAAAATTGTACATGTTTACCGAGGCAACAAGTGACAGGGTTACTAAAGGCATATAAGTGATTGGAAGTGTAAATATTTTTCAATTTCTGTGTTCTTTGGTGCATTTTTCTTATTATTGGATATACTATTTGGAAACCACGAAATAAATGAATAGGAAATTAAAAATGTATACATAAGTTGGGACATCAATATATTTTTTATTGTTTTTCTATTGAAAATAATAATTTAAAAATTAGTAATTTCCTAATAAAACTTAACTTTAAAAATGTTTAAAGTTTATATATATATATAAGAATGAGATATACTGACATAACGCTAAAAACCCAAATATATATTTTGATACGGATTCTCAAAAACAATCATAGTTATTTTCTATTATATTACGGAAATCGAATAAATATACATGCGCAAAAAAATATACTTCCATTTTTATTTTAGCAAAAATTTGAGTGTTATTATAATAAATTACAAATATATTTAAAGTAACAACTAATGAATTATTGTAAGCATTTTATCGGAATGTAAATGTTATGAGAAAAAATATTCATCAAAATATTTTGATCTAAAAATTGCATCTTAATCACACTTATCGGGAAAACCCAAACATCTGTTATTCTTAGTGCGTATTTTAGTGCTTTGCTAATATTACTAAATGAAAATACAATTTATTTGATTTAAATAATTGCACAAATTAGACACTGGGTGATTGCCTTTTTTAACCACAGCTCTAAGTTGTTGTTTTTTAATTTTATAACCTTGTGTGACTAAACTGAAAATGTATTTTCCATTTCTTAAAATTAATACATATAATAAATTGCTTTTTAAATTTCTAAAATTTTCTAAAATTAAATACAACTTTAGCTTTGTATTTTAAAAATTTTATAAGTTTTTACTTTTATTCTTTCAAAAAATATACTTTTATGAAATTTATATAGTAGTGAAAAACTTATCCTTTAAATATACTTTTAATACGCAAATGCTGTTTAATGCAATCAGTGCAGCGAAACTACATTGCACTTATCACTCATCCAAATATGAACAAAGCATGTGAAATGCAAAAAAAAATTGTTTTAGCGTAGGGAAAGGGGTTAAAATCCCGTTGATGATTTTATTAATTTCTTTAAAACTCTTGGGGGGGGGGGCAATTCGATAGTTTCATTTGCCCAAGGCAGCACAAGATACGCCTCAGAATGAATTTGACAAATAATTAACCTTCTTATGTACATATTTATGGGTTAGGAAATAGGGTGTGTACAATTTTACGTGGATGACAATTTCTTTAAATCCAATGATGTTACATTTGGGTAAAATAGTAATGCTATATTCTCATTTCACTAATTAAGAAAATCAATGACGTTAAGGGAGGAAGGGATGGATGGATGGTAGACGGAATGCTTCCTTGAATAGTTGCGCAAATGGTATCTTTTATTCGGTAAACTATGTTTACACATATATAAAATTAATGTATGTATATATATCCCGCTTGCGCTCCTATATCATTTATCCAATTGCGATAAAACTTTTATGACTTGTGCAAATGCCAATACATTTTTTTGAATTATTACACACATTTTACAATATTCTTTTTTGGGCCCAAGGCCCTAAATTCTTTTTTTTTTCCTGTCATACTGTCATGAGCTAAATATAATTTCCGAATGTTTTCCTATACCATTCATCCGATTGCGATAAGATTGGGCTATCCGAGCTATACACCTATAATTTCAAACAGCGCTATTGCATGGGCGGATGGAATTGAATAAAATACAAGCAACATTTCAGTTTGTGTGACATAATAATTAATTAAAATAATTCTAAATTAGTACAACCCTTTTACAATATGGTGTTTGGGGCCCGGGGCTTAATTTTTAAAAAAAAAAAATTTGTGAGCTATATAAATTATATAATTTCCAACAGAGCTGCTGCATGGGTTGATCAATGGCTAATTTTGAAAATCCATGCTTCTCACGTGGATAGCTGTATATGGCCTTTTCAGGCGTAGAAAAACCTTCTAATTTATTTGTGTACGCACAAGATGGAAAAAAACAAAAAAATTATTTTCTATTTAAAAATTACTTCAAAAACGTAATTAAAACACAAAAACTTTTTTGAGTGGCATTGCAATGCATGCTGGGTTCTCGCTAGTTATAGATAATTCAATTACCTACAAAATGGTTTATTAATCATTAGAATATGTTTATAATTAAGAAAACTGCAGCTGAGATTGTACATACACTTAAAATTATAAAATGTGACCTAGATTTAATCTGGTATTTAATCAGTTAAGCTAATGTATTGAATGCTTTTGTGATGAGATTGGATGATTTTAGTATTTTTAGGGTAAACAGGTCTGGAAAAGGCTTTTAAATGCTGAAATGAGTTTCAATTGTTTAGAAATTGACTTATGCGTGTAAAATAAAAAATGTTGTGTCTCTTCAACTTTGGAAAAGTATACTTGACTTTTGCCAGGAAGAGAAGTTTTGTACAATTGAAAATTTAAAAATTTATTTCACAAACACTCTACCTTCAGAAGAGAAAGCATCAAAATGTCAGCGTAATCAAGAAATCTCCATGGGCAAATCCTCTCATGTTAAAGAAAACTCGTATGTTCAAGAAACCTCGTATGTTCAAGAAAGCTTGTGTAGCAAGCCCCATCATGTTGATGTTGAGAAGAATATGAAGGAAGCTATTGCTCAAGTCCTTTGTATGCATCCAGATGGCATTCCTTTAAATAAATTCCAGGAAACCTTTGAGGTGATGAAATATTCTTTCTTTCTGTCTTTTTTTTTTTAAATGGTCATTTACTTTTCAAGAATTTAGGTGCAGTTGAGAGAAAATATTTCACTTATTTAGAGACTCCCATTTTCCTACAAGGTGTTCTCAAAGTAACAAAGGTCTTGAGAATAAGATGAGTGATAAATAGAATAAAAATTATACAGACCAGCGAATTATTTTTAAAATATAAAATGTAGCCGTCTTCTTTAGCACATTCTATAAATTTTTTATTTATGAAGTCATATATTACCAGAAAAGTGTGAATTTCAAGCATCGTATAACTTATCCTCTCATCCTAATGCCTATCGATATTCTGTATCGGGGTTGGATTGTATGAACTGTGTTATACCCTGTTATATAGGATAGTTAACCAGTAGTAATAAGAATAATAAAGTTTATTTCAAAAACACGCTTCATCCCCAAAAGCTGGAAGCGCGGTTACAAAGTCAAAAAAAAAAATTTTAAAATCTATAATTTACCACATTTAAAACAAACGCAACACTACAAAAACTAATTACAAGCATACCAAGTCAAAGTCTTTTTACCCATTTCAACCCTAATCAACACAGCCAATATGCATTAACTGGAAAATATGGTAGACAATCATCCAGAAGGTGTTTGCGAAATAGATGTGTCTTTAAATCGGTTTTAAAGGACTCCAGTGTCTGGTTGTTTCTGAGATCGACAGGAAGGGCCTTCCAAATTGTGGAACCAGTAAATGCGAAAGTGCGCTTTCCGTAAGTCTCAGTAACCAGACACTAGCACAGAACTGTGTTGGCGTTGGTAATTGTTTTTAGTATATGTCTTCAGCATCTCCTAGTGGAAAATTTATGAACCTCATTTGTTGTTAAACAACTAATGAATCACTGTACTACAATAATTGTTTAAATAGACACACAACAAATGAATCGCTACACTACAGAAGTTGTTAAACAAGTGAATCACTGTACTACAATAATTGTTTAAATAGACACACAACAAATGAATCGCTGCAGTACAGAAGTTGTTGTTTAAAATAGAGAGACAACAAATTGAAGCACATTTTAAAACAAATATCAAAAGGCCATATTATAATCCAGGGTGCGACTACATCACTGTTTGTGTTCCATGTGGCTTGTTGCACAGACTGCCTCGAATAAACTTAGCATTCTAAAGAAACGCTTGGAAAATAATGTTCATGTATTGCTTGCATACTTTGCTGGTAACAGATTCATTTAGATGTAGCTGGCAGCACCCAAATGATATCCAAACTATATGTTTACATGTCTTTTTTATTTTACAATAATAAGGGTTATGGTTTTTATTAGTACTTTCAAGCTAATTCTGTAAGAATTTACCAGCATGGTTCCTCAGCTGTTGTAAAATGAAAAAGTCACTCTTATATTTAATCTTGTCTTGCAGCAATTGAGGTTTTATGATACATTATGGCCGATTTAAGCTCTTGAGCAATAATAGAAATGTTTAACCTTTTAATTTGTTTAGTTATGAGAACGATTATCAATGCACTGAAAAGGAATATTTACCATTCATTAAAAATACATTTCTATTTTTGATATCAATAAAAGAATCTTACCTGATATTGTAATCATTCCTTTTTAGTTACCAAGATGATCACAAAGAACTATGTTATTTATTGAAAAGTTAAAGCATTTATTCCACAAGTGTTATCCTTGATAAAAAAAAGATGGAATTTATCTTTCAGGAAATGACAGGAATAGAGTTAGATATCACTAGGTATACATCTGATGGAATCAAAGCATTCCTTTACAGTATGACGGATATTCTGCTTTTGACTGTGAATCCATTGGGCAAGTATATGTGGACTCAATGTGTTCCTTTTGTAATTGGTTCATATAGTACATTATTATTTTAACTGTAATCATTAAAAAAACAAGCCAATGATTAAACTCCACCAAAGTTAAACTGTTGAGTGATATTGATGCTGTCACCTAGTTACACATCTGTTTACTCGTACGATTTTGGCGTACAATGTACAATTTTGAGGTATATACTTTATACTGTTTTTTTACTATTAAGTTAATGTATTGAACGATTTTGTGATGATATCGTAGGATTTTAAAAGTTTGAGGGTAAACAGGTCTGTAGTTGTTAAGCAAGTTTAATTGGCCTTGTGTACAACGATCGAGAAATTCCATATTATGACCACAATTTTAGACAAGCGATTGCTAGCTGTGTCCAAAGACTCCAGGGAAAGAGAATCTAATGTGCTATAATAACTGCTCCCATGAGGAAAATGAAGTGAAAATTTTGTATTCATGTCCAGGAAACTGTCAGTATATTTGTACACTGGCCCAAATCAATTTTTGCCCCAAAGAATAAATTTTACCAAGACAAATTGGTTCCAGGGATGTCGCACTTGTTGCCTTATTTTAAATTCATTGTTTGAGACACTGTTATCCATCCTCACTAATGACTGTTTTTTCCATTTCTTCAATCATGAGTGACTTAATCACAGTATGAATAGTCATCACATTTGCCCCCATAAGCCCCTTTTATCATGTTTAAGGATTTTTAAGTGGAGAGAGTACAATCAGGTTATGTAAAATGTAATCAGCCAAACATGGATGCAACAAAACAATGAACGTACGGGCAAGAAGCCCTCTTCAATAAACAAACAACATTAAAAATAATTATTAATATAAAATTAAAATAACACTTACCTGCAATGTAGAATCTGGGAAACAGTGAGACAAAATGTGATGACATTTGGATTAACTCTTCTTTTTAGTTTAGCTCTTTTCTTTATTCTATGTTACTTTCTAATATGGTTTGGGGGCTGGGTAGTGGTCTAAAATGAACAAATCTCAAGTTCTGGAGTTCAATCCCCACCACAGCCCAGTCAAGCATAAACATCACCAGCACTCTGGGTGGATTGGGCTCGGTAACCTTGGATTGCAGCTCATCTTAGAGAAGGGAGCGCTGAATTCAAAACCCAGACATGTAGTCCTGTAGGCGGATAACATTGGCACAATAAAACGTTCCGATTTGCTGTGTAGGGAACCAGCTTATAATCCTAAAGAATAACCCCAATCCTTGTGGATTTAGTCCTGCGAAGTCTACACCAGGCTGCCAGAAAGAAAAAAAAAATATGGTGGCTTTTACCACATTGTACATAGTGGTACATGAGTACCACTTTCATTCTTTGTAGTATAGATTTTTTTAAATTATAGATCATTTTATTTATCCAATAGTCTTTTTGGACCCATAATTATAGTTATGTCAATAAAAATAGATGACAAAATCTTTAAAAAATTATGTTTGAAAGAGCTTATAAATATAATGCCTTCACCAATTCGAGACTGATGCTGCAAGAATCACATGTGTGGGAAATGCAGAGGTCTGACACATTTTAAAAGTTGGGACAAATGCCAACTGTATGAAATGCAGACGATTGGCTGGCTTTCACTATTTATGTAATTCATTCAAACAGCTCAGAATAAGTTTTATTGTCTATCTTATTTATATTTGATGCCTTTAACATCAGTGCCTTTAAAATCTCGGTTAACAGAGCAGACTGTGGTGTGTCCTAAGCTAGCAGGTCATCCTCGGAGATTTGACAAGTTGCTGACTCAGTACCAGCCAATTTTTCCACCCATTGAAAATCAGGTATGTAAATGCTTTGCTGACTAAGATTGTTCTCTACCATTTATTAGAATAGAGCATGCACACTATTTCTAAAGACTTCAAAACATGTCAAACTTACTACATTTTGGTAATTACAATAGTATTTGAGAGTACAGTGAGAAAAAAATAGGATTTTGATAAAATTTAATGTAAGAAAATTTATAAAAGATGCAATAACTAAATGCAGTCTTAAAATAATCAAATATGTACCTGTAATACACTTAATTTTGCAGTAGCAAAAAAGTGAATTATTTTAGCTATGCAACTTAAAATGATAGACTTGCCCATAGATCACAATTTTATGCTAAATCAGTGACTGGACAGACTTCTGATGTTCATTTTTTACTTATAGATATGTTTGGTGGTTCCCCTGAAATTTTTCAACCATCTTAATTGTTTTTGCTTTTGCTATCCCAAGACTAAGGGTCTGTTAATTTCCTGTGATCCAGTAACCATCAGATATTAACATTTCACTTACTCCTTTGACTACTGATATGTGTATTTTGTAACTTACTGTTACCCCCATTTTATAGCCCACTCTTCACTTGACACAATGAAAGACATTGTCCCAATTAGTAACAGAGTTGCTTCCAAATTTTTTTATTATTTTTTTTTGGTTTCATTATTTGTAGGTACTTTGTAGTTGTGTCAAAGTGACGTGCTCCTAATTTTGATGTGTCAATGAATTTTTTATGCTATTTATTTTTGCGGGTCACAGCCTGGTGCAGACCATGCTATTTTTAAGATTCCAATTTGTTAAGTTTTCCATAAAATAAACTTAATAACTTAATAAATGTCGCAGAAAAAAGAAGAGGTTCTCCGACTACCAAATGATGCTGTCAGTCCAGGTTGCTTCTACAAGGCCCAGCCTTTGCCACCTGCAGGGAATGGGAAATACATAGGGCTGTATGTGTCCAATGTCCTCTCACCGAGTGTCTTCTGGATTCAGCTGAGAGGGACCGACACTACACTGGCTTTAGAAGACGTGATGGATGATTTAGAGAGAGTATAGTAAGGGTTTTCTCTGATGTTTGCATTCATCATCTCCTGGCCCACTTGCTGTTCGATATCTTCTCCATTTCACATTTGTGCTTGCCTTGTAGTCCTCTGCACAAGCCCTTTTGCTGTATCATGCTTGTTCAGTTCCCCAAGCCAACCTAACTACCATACACGCTAATGTTAAGGGCTACTGCTACTCTCAAGAAAACTTCACTCTTCTTTATGAATATGAAGTAATATGAATTTTTTTATCGTCTTTCATTACTATTTTGTGGGAGTTGAAAGTTTATCATAGTTGTAAACCCTTTTAAAGTGTCACCATGGTAAAGCACATTT